TGTAGACAATAAACCCCATTTACTGTATGCTGGCAATGAAGAAGTGCAAGATCACTGGCTGGATCAACATGTATGACTTCGCACAGAATGTTTTTACCAATGATATCATTGGAAATATAAATAGGATTAAGACTGTCATCAGTCATTTCAGTGTCAATAACATGTTTACTGGTAAGGACAAAATGTTCACTAATGAAAAACCCAGTACCATGTTCGTTCTCAATAAGTTCTTTGATTGCGGCCCTTGCAGACTCAAGTTCAATCCACTGCCTTCGATTATAAATTTCATCACTACACCCTTTTACAGGGAATAATTGGTCTAAGTCTTTAAGTACGTCATGAATTTCCCTTATGCCACACTTACGCTTCTCACCCAAATGAAGTTGGTACCTGGATAACAGCGCCGTAAAAGTTTGAGAGCTTGATCCTTCTTGTACAGTCGTACAGTCGGCGGACCATAAACTGACACCTTCACAGTGCTATTCACTGCTTTTCTCTCCGACTAAATAGGCATCAGCATTGGGAGCGTGCGCCATTGTTGAGGTCTAGGTTATGTACCCTTCTGAAAATTCACATTGCCGGGAGCTAGCAAGTAGCTCCCGATCCCGCATGGTTTTAGTTCATCAGCTCACAGTTCCACCCTGCAACCACGACTGCAACCAAGACTATCCTTACAACTTGTGAGAAGCAAACGACTTTACATTTTTACATCGGTCTGATAGCATGTGTTAATGGTGCAAATCCGTCACGTTTTCAATATGCGCGTACGCGAGCGCACGCTAATGACGCCATAAATTATGCGCAGTAAGGATGCGCAATGTAAATGCGAGGAATGACCTTAAAACTTTCAAAAGTGTGCATTCGCTCAATGTTGCACACCTGGTATCATTTTTACCTCTGTTTGCGAATTTATTATACTTAATTCTTTTCCCCCTCTTCTGTACATAAGTTACAATTACGCCATTGCGCGCGGATCGTCCGGCAAAAATTCATTACTATCGAATGGTAGCATTCCGAGTTCTGCATTGATATAAAGCGGACAAGCGTGGCCTTTTTCCGAGGCATACTGAAGTACGTTGTTCCATCACTGTGGCAACTGACTAAGGTTTAATTA